CTAATATATTTATTTTACGTGAATAGAAAGCATGGGAAGTCGCACAAGCACCTTTTAAGAACTTGTTTATGATGGGCTTTATGATGTGGATGTCAGGAAGCACGGTTCATCTCTTTAGCATTGGCATCACATTTTCAGCTCTTTGGCAACCCATAAATGCTCTTCGAGGGGTTGGGAAAGGTGAAAGATATTTTATGCTATACTAATTTACAGCCACCTTTCCAATTAGTGCTTGTCTATTTTCACTTCACTTTAATAATTCTTGATCAATTAAGGACCATGATCAGAGAAGTTTTATTAGTTCTCAATTGACATTTGACATCTACCTGTCGTAGAAAAGCACAATATAGAAGTATCAATATAAGCACGTCATATTTTGCTTAAAATGTATAAGAATAAGTTGTTATCAGTTGTATTTTTAAAGTTTCTAGCTCTACGGGGGTGTGGCATTTCAAGTGTATATTGCTTGTCGGGTTCCTCACTTATATCATAAAAAAATTGTTTGTTTTCATTTTGTATGTCTTCATGTGTACCTTTAGATCTTTAAGCTTCATGGTATAAATTTGCATAAATACTTAAGTGCTCGTTGTTAGCTTTGTGGTTAGCTCAGATATTATGTAAACCTGGGGTGACTGCCATTTTTTTTTTTTAATTATATTTTTTAGTTAACTAGGAGCTAATCCATCACTTTTAGTTTTACTTTTTTATGAAGCTTCTTTTTAATTTCGACATTTCTGTTTGCTTCTAATGTTTATGTTTCTTCTCTTATTAAACCAAGCTAACTATTATTGCTTTGATTGACAGTTTTTGAGCCTTACAAGGACAATAGAGTGGATCTCCTAGCGCCTAAATTAGTGTTTATCGCTCTTAATTTGGTTGGCTTAGGACTGGGCATCTGGAAGGTTGCTTCCTTTTTAAAATTTTACACGTCATTGTAAAGTTTTCATAATATTACTTCAAAGCCAACCAAATTTTCTCTGTTGTTGGCAGCTTAATACTTTGGGCCTTCTTCCAACTCACGTATCGGATTGGGTTTCATCCTTGCCTCCTGTTCAGGTTCGATTGTTTATTTCATTTATTGCCGTAGAATATCTTTATTTTTCCAGTTCTGGGGAAGATGTAGAAGATAGGATTAGTAAGCCAAGTTTATACCTGTTCATATGAAATTTGTGGCTGTAATTATGAGATCGAGTGTTAGTACACCATAACCCTACAAGGGCAGAGAGTTCAAAAGATCATGAAAAATAGGACAATGATGAATCGAGTAATAATATGATCACTAAGCTTATAAATGCTTAATGTCAGAAAAATAAACTTTACAATTCTTGGTTCTAATCTGACCAGTGACCATGAAGGTACCATATATCCTTTCTTTTGAGGAATCTATTTTCAATCTTGATCTAATTTTGCTTTGTTCGTAGAATTATCTGTAACTTGAAGGCTTGTATGCAAGTAGACTGATGAGGTCCCCAATGTATAGTGTCTTTCACACTTGGGTCCCGACTTTTTTCTGTTGACACTTGAAGGCCTAATTTCAGTTTTTGTAGTGATATATATGGTCATTTTGGATGGTCTTGATCTAAATAGGTGTAGGTTTGTTACTGTAACCTGCATTGACTTATATGCGTTTCTTGATTTCAGGAGGTTGAATATT